ATAGCCAAATAAATATCCATATTAAAGACCATGCTCGCAAAAAAAAAAGAAGAAAATTTGTGTAAACAAGGAACATTGTGAACAGTTCATTGCGGCAACAAGAAATCTTAGCAAAGTGGCCAAGTTCCTTTATTAAATTCTTTGTGAACAGTGAAAAACTCCTCACGTTTTGGGAGCTTTCTAGCAAATTGGCTACACTGCATGCGTGTGTTGAAAGTACAGAAGAAGCAAATAATATTTAAAGGCAAGAATATCTGTAATCTGAATGTACTCTGGCTGGATTTTATTTAGCTTGCAACGATGGATAAGTAAATCAAATTTTGAGTAAAATGTTAGCTCAAGTTGGCCTGCCCACGAAGCACAACATAAGGTTTTGTATCAAAAGCCTCGTTTACAAAATAGACCCAAATGCTTTATGTATGCAGTGCATTAGAAAGCCTGCGGTTTATAAGCAGGGTTAAGTAAAATGAATGAATGAATGATACCGAAAAGAATTTTACCCGTTTTTTTTTTATCAAAAAATATTTAGAGGTAGGTCAAAGTTTTCCATGGGGAAAAACAAGTTTTCGTAAAAATGCACTTTTAACAGGTCCCCCTGAGGTATTGAAGAGTGGGCTATTAAAAAAAAAAGTTTGTCTATTTTTTGAATCAGTCTAATGTATATACACATGCATGAGTATGTTTGTGCAAGCTTTTTTCACACCTTGACAGCGACATTCAGACAATCTGTGCATCAACGATTCAATAAAGGATTTCCTCAGGAGGTTTCCACGACATTTGAATGTATGTACATAAGTACTTACTTATAAATTTTGTTGGGTAAGGGGTGAAGAAAAACATTTACCGTTATTCACGTCGCATAGTATGTTTGGAAATACATACATGTGTGACAGTAAATACAATTTTAGACAAGTGTCAGTTACGCGTACACAATCAAGTATTTACCAACGTCCCGTATCCACAGATTGGTGTTAGCTATGCAATTTGCCAACAATTGATTTGATGTTATTCGATTTGTTAAGTGTGTGCGCAGGAAAACCTCGATTTGCATGGCTTCTTTTTGCATTTTCTTTTTTGTTGTGCGCACAAGTGTTTGCATTCCCAAATATCCTTTAATAGATATGTACGTGGTTGGAGGTTTAGCGAGTGATGAAGGCTTTCTATGAAAAAATCGAAAATTTGCTTATTTGCACGCACGAGTTGGAATCGGATTAAATTTTAGGTACCTAGTTTGATGAAAAAGCTCTACAAAAGTCTTACGTAAAACACTTTCATATACACATATAGATGTATACAAAAAACCGGAGAGTTCGAGTATTTAATATTATGTCTTAAATATCTATTAAATGATGTGAAAGTAGATGACAAATTTACGATGCGAAATTACATGAACAAAACTATTTTCTTTTGTATAGGGTATTCTGTGGTATTGTTGTTTTTCGTCATTGACTTAAACAACATACTCCCATCGCATTAGAATAAGTATTGGAAATGCTGATATGTTGGTCAAATTCCGCAGGATCCCGCGGGTGCCCAAAACAGCCAAGAAAGCATTCCTCACGCTAGAAAAATGGGTAAAAAAGAGCGAATAGTGTAACAAGTCAATTTGAAATAACAGCTGTTGTTTAAATCCGAAAGAAAATTTTATAAAATACAAAAATGGAAAATACCACTAAAGTTTCAGAAAATGTAGGTATTTGGTAGTTTTATTAGACATACAAGATAAATAAGCTATTATAAATTTCACTGGTTTGCAGCAAAAATATTCTATGGATGCCACTATCCAACTCCTATGTAGAATTGCTCGGTGATTCTGTAAATCGAGTTAATTTTGTGTAAATGGATACGTTTCCGAGATATTTTCAATTTACCGTTATTTAGCTTAAAAAAATAGTGGTTCCACGTAACCACGTATATCTTACGAACCATTTTGACAATCGTAAAACGAAATACGACAAATAAAAGCCAATGAAATAAGCCAATGAAATAAGCCGTAAGGCCTGATAGTTTCTGAGAAATTCATTAACAAAAAGAAAAACAAATTAAAAAAAACAGTCATTATTTTTTTATTTTTCCTCTGTTAAAGTTTGAATTTTTTTAATTTTTCCATTAAAAAACCAAAAACAATTGGAGTTACTAAATAATTTTTCAGAAACTATCACGAAACGAATCTTCTCATAACGAACTGAGGCTAATCGACCTCGCCGGGGCCCGAAATATGGTAGTATGTGGTACAAGATTCCAGCATACAAATACATTCATCAACAGGCCCGAAAACCACAGCCAGAATAAACTGAATGCGTTTGAAATATACATATGTTATCAAGAATGATAGAATACAAGATTGCGCCGATCAGAGAGGATTTTTGAGAATAACTTTTGTGTGACGTCACACTGGTGCAATTGCGGGAGAGAAATGCCAAAACGTGAGCAAGAATGGAAGAAGAAGAAAAAATGTTGCAAGGAAAACGTAAACAAGTTGCACAAGTGTGACGTCATGCAAACAACGATTCTGTCAAATTCGTTAAGAGAGGAATAGCGGTCCGAGATCGGCGCAACCTTTGTATTCTCTCAATCGTGCATATGTTATCATATCATCCGGAACGTTCTAAAGCAAGGCGTATTTAACAAGGTGGTGTTGGCCGTATATAAGTAAAAAATTACACTAACAAATTATACGCTGATGTCCATACTGTCATTGGTATGAGTTACAACAAACACATCATTTTGACGTAATGGCCTCCACGGCGAAAAACTCAGCTGTCGCCCCAACACCACCTTGTTTAATACACCTTGTTCTAAAGAATAAGTAAACAAAAAAGTTTATTCCAAACGTTCAGAATGAATAAAAATATGCAGGCAGCCTCTATGTCGCGATGTCGGAATTGTATTTCCGCGAAAATAATACGGCTGTTTGATACCAAATGTGGTTTCAGACAAGGTGACCCCCTTTCGTTTTATTTCTTTAATCTGATGTTGGAGAAGATAATAAGAGCCACATCATTGAACCGCTCAAGCACAATTTTATACAATCGTCATTGTCGGTAAAAGCAAGGGCTACGTCAGTTCTGCCTTCTCAGAATTGTATAGAGAAGTAAATCGCGAGGGTCTGGTGGCGAAAGAGGACAAATCGAAGTATATCCTGTCATTAGACAAACAGTCAGAGCATAAACGTATCTGCACCCACGTGATTGTTCACAGTTACAAGCATTAACACCAATAATAATGTCAGCCATGAAATTCAACGAAGAATCACTCTTTCGAACAAGTGCTACTTTGGACTGAGTAGGCAGAAGTAGAGTCACTCATCATGCCCATTCTGGTAAATGGCGCCAAAGCATAGACAATGAAAACATCCGATGAGGGCTCTTGGAGTATTCTAGATAATGATCCTCCATACATATCTTGGCTGAGTTGTAACCCCTAATTAGACAAAAACAAAGTAAATACTCCTCCCTAGTTTGGTGGCCAAAAACATTACCAAAAGCTGTCATTTAATTCAAATTCAAACCTTGACTTCGATCTCGGTAACAGGTAAAATGCAAACTTGGTGACTTCGGAGTCACTTCTGGCCTGGACTTCGCTTCATATTTTTATTCAAGCAACAGTCTCGATAAAGCTGCGTTCCCACGGCAGCCGGGTCTACGTAACCGAAACGGCCCAGATTTATATCTGGCCAAGGACTGTCACTCCAGCAACACTCCTCAAAAACTCTTTTGGGAACTTGTATGCTGCTACAACGGTAACAACATAAAGATGCAACCGCGAATATCTGACGGTACTCTTCGTGAGGAGGAGCATCAGCACAGAAGATAAAAGTCTTAGAACGAGAAGTTTGAGCAAACTGGCTGCCTCGACTTGCTTCCAGATGTGTACATTGTCTTTATGTACCCGGAGATAAACTTTCGATGAAAACGGCAAGCTGGCCAACAGTTTTTCATGTAGAGGTGCTAGCAATCCTGATCTGCGCCATAACAAATTGTGTAAGTAATTTTAAACATGCTTTCTTAGTTATCTTTTCATACAGCCAAGCCGCCATCAGTTCCTTCACTTCGAAGCTCGAATATGAGTGTTTTAGTACTTTTTAACTCTTGACGGCGGAAACAAGGTAAGCACCGCTGGCCACACTAATTGGTTATCCTTCCAATTTTTTTACCAACACCCTACATATGTAAAATATAGACAGACAGGTAAACAGATTGTATGTTCTCCTGTATATTGAATTTATTAAGGGAACCCTCTTCACTTCAGGCCATTAGGGAATACTTACTGGGTAACTTATCGACAACCATAACCCAAAGTACACATGGGTGCAGTGTTACTCATAAGTGTTTCGGGTTCCTTTACCAAAATTGATTTAAGTGCCAAAACAAAAGTCAAGTTAAGTGCCAAAATAAAAGTCTTTAGTTGCTGTGCTCCAGCGGGCAGTAATAGTATATAATGGAAGAAATTTCTTTTTCTCAGCGAATCCGAGAGCATTACGTCTCCAAATACCTGCTCCCTCTAGGAAACATCGATGTACTTAGAAATAATAATGCCAGGTATACACGACAAATTTGGCATTATTTTCTGATATAGAAATGATAATTACTCGTGGAATTTGATAGTGTGTCTTTTCTCTAGCACGTCCGCAAATTATATATAGCTAATTATTTTTAATTAGACGCTGTATATAAATGAACAGTTTTCTAAAATTAGTTACCTCGTTTTATTTGCAAATTTAATCGAGTAACTAATTTTGTTCGAAAATATGACAAAGGCGTAGTAATCTTTCTAACCAAGAGCCACTTGTATAAAGCTTCCTATTTCCCTCATTAAAAAAAAGCGGAAGTAATTTTAAAACCTGTTAGTAAAATTCAAAAGGAAGAATATGACAGTCGGGAAATTATGTTCACAATAAAATGTTGAATGCACTCCTTTTATCGATATTGTGAATGGTTGTAACATTTTTCCGAATGGCAATGCCGTACCGGCGAAATGTCAAATAAATTAATATTTGACAGCGTCTGACAAAACGCGTACGCGGATTTTCTACCAATTCGTGTGTAATTTTGCATATTGGAATTTGTTATAAAAACACTACAAGTGCCAAATAATTTTATTTCATTTTATCACCAAAGTAAGCAGCAATGAATCGCAGACGTCCGCATGATGGCGATGAAGAGGGTTACGGTAAGTAATGGTGCAAATGGCATCCTACGACAGTGCACCCCGATGTATATGCGGTTTTCCAATTTTAATTACACCAAAATTTTTAGATCATCGCAATCGAAAACGTAGGCGCGTTTCTGAAAATCAGGAAATTGAAGATCGTTTGGAGTCACTAATTTTACGCGTCGGTGAACGTAGCACCTCTTCGGTAGAATCGAATTTGGAAGGTTTAGTTTCCGTGTTGGAGGCAGACTTGGGCACTTTTCGTCTAAAAATTCTACGTATTCTCTCGGATTGTGCAATAAAAATGCCGGAAAAGTGTACCATTTACACAACCTTAGTGGGCTTATTAAATGCAAAAAACTACAAATTTGGCGGTGAGTTCGTAGACCACATGGTGAAGACATTCAAAGAAGCCTTGAAAATGTGCTGGTGGGATGCTGCACGTTACTCGCTCCGTTTTCTTGCTGATCTAGTGAATTGTCACGTCATCTCAGCAACAAGTCTTCTGCAGCTTCTAGACACAATGATCGATGTTTCTAACGAAGATACAGTACCACAAGTGCGTCGTGACTGGTTTGTTTTTTCAGTGCTCTCCACGTTACCATGGGTAGGTCGCGACTTGTATGAGAAGAAAGAGTCGTCGTTAGAATCATTGCTGTTGCGCATTGAAGTTTATTTAAACAAACGTTCAAAGAAACACCACAATGCTCTACGTGTGTGGTCGGTCGATGCACCACATCCGCAAGAGGAATACTTGGATTGCTTATGGGCGCAAATACGTAAGTTGCGTCAAGATAATTGGGCTGAAAAACACATTCCACGTCCTTACCTGGCCTTTGATTCGATTTTATGTGAAGCACTGCAACATAATTTGCCACCCATTGTGCCACCATCACATCATGAGTCATACGATTATCCAATGCCTTGGGTGGTTTATCGCATGTTTGATTATACTGATTGCCCCGATGGTCCCAATTTGCCAGGTGCGCATTCCATTGAGCGCTTCTTAATCGAAGAGCACCTGCACCACATCATCGAAACGCATCGTTTGGAACGGAAAGATTGTGCAGCACAACTGCTAGCGTTCCCTTACAAAAACAAAATACCGCTCGAATACTGCATCGTAGAGGTTGTATTTGCAGAAATATTCCATATGCCGACACCACGTTATTTGGAAATCGTTTATGGTTCAATACTTATTGAATTGTGTAAATTACAACCGGCAACATTGCCGCAAGTGCTCGCTCAAGCAACTGAAATTCTATTCATGCGCATAGATTCCATGAATACTTCTTGTTTCGACCGCTTCGTAAATTGGTTTTCTTATCATTTGAGCAACTTCAAATTCACTTGGTCGTGGGAAGAATGGGATAGTTGTTTACTATTAGACCCAGAACATCCACGCCCCAAATTTATACAAGAAGTATTGCATAAGTGTTTAAGGTATGAACTGCGCTCAAATAAAGAAAACCTAGATTGCTTAATTAATTAATTGTTTGCAGATTATCTTATCATCAACGCATTGTGGAAATGATGCCTGAGGCTTATGCTAAGCTTATACCTGTTGCACCGCAACCCAACTACAAATATGCTTCCGAAGATGCAGGTGAGTAAAAAAATATGGTTAAAAGAATATTTTTGTCAAATGCAAATTTTTGTATTCGTAATTGCTTTAAAGCTCGTAGAAACCACTATTCATAAAATGGCTCGTTATAAATATTTTTATGGTTTTATATTAGAATTAAGGTGCGGTTAAACGTGGCAATGCAAACGGTTTGCTACACATTTTGCTGTCAAAATGCTAAAACTAAAGTTCCATGTGAACAGCCAGAAAGTCCTTTTTCAGAAATCACCTTCGGAAATAAAAATTTCAAAGTATAACTGCAACTGAAATTACGCAAATCGCTTTAGAGAAATAATTTCAACCTGCTCGTGCTGCACCAGCAATTTTCATTTTTGCTGCATGTGCTGTCAAACCAATCGAGTGTTGCCATGTGACGCTTTTTTTTGCGACTTTCATTAAGTTATAAAAATGTTGAATAGACTATGAAAAATATGTGTAACTAATTTTTTCTACTGATATGGAGTATTTTAGTATTAGATATTTTGTGACTGTTTCGTGCACATTTGCAGGTTTAGTAAATTTTTCAGGTTATTAGAAATAAAAACTGTTCTTGAAAGCCTCTTTACATGCAAGGTGTAACTGATCCTGCAATATCTTTTGGAAATTCTTGAGTTTGACAGACTCTTGAAAAGGACTGGCACTTGCCACGTCTAACAGCAGGAGAATCCCATTGCAAAATGAAGTATTGCGTACATTTCATATCAGTCGGAAAATTATTAATTATAAAGAAAACAAGCCATTTTTAAGAAAAAAATTTAATAAAAAATAATATTAATAAAAATTTAAGATTATCGATCATTTCTTCACGATCCAATTATCGGTTCTAAATAAAACTAGTATGTTATAGTATCCTTGAGGTACCAGCTTTCCGATGAAAAAAAGTATTATCTAAATCGCTTTACGTGGTCCAAAGTTATGCGGTAACATACATACATTTTTTTGAAGTCGGTTAATAATGAAAAAGTTGTGCCTACAATAATTTTTTGAAAAATGCATAAAGTGAAGATACTTTGGGTATTGAAGCTGAGGTTTATGCACAAATCAAAGTTATTTCAACATATTCATACATTCTATTTGTCAGATGGACTTATGAAGGTTGTCCTTAATGCAGCCACAAGTATGATGACACATTGCTATAGTCCTAATCATACTCTCATATAAAGCGGTCGTCAATTGTTTAGCCCTTACTAGTGCTGGAAAAACATCGATGTTTTTTGGGGAGCAACATTGATCTATCGATGCATCGACCTTTTTAAATGGCGAATTTTTTAAATGTTGGCTGAATTCATTAATGCAGATATGCAAACCGTCAGTCTCTTTAATTTCACAACTATTCAAGATAAATGAGTTCAATTTGGACTTTGATTTTTGGGATATTTTGCATTATTGTGTTTATAAACACAGCCATTTACATATATTGCTGATAATTTATTAAAAGTCTTGTAAATTTCAATTTGTCAATTTCTTAATAACTCATATTAAGATTTCAGTAAAATAGAATTCGTATTTTTGGAATCTATCTAAGTTCAAAAACACATTTATATACACACATACATACATAAGATGAAAGATTTTCATTGAAAACACTCACATAAACACAGTCCTACAAAGAAGACTGCGACTTAAAGATTTCAAGTTGTGCCAACACCAACAACCTAAAGACGTAATAAATTGCATTTAATAAGCTTTATTTATCTATTAAAATTGTGCTCGTAGATTTTCACTTACGTATGTGATAGTTATAGAGAAAAACATCGAGCATCGAAAAACAACATCGATGTTTGAAATAAATTCAAAAACATAGATGTATCGATATTACATCGATGTATCTTCCAGCACTAGCCCTTACTGATGTGATTCATTCATTCCCACGACAGCCGGTTCTACGTACTGGAATGACTCGGGTTTTACCCGACCAAGGGCTGTTGTTTCGGCGATCTAACCCCGTTTAGGTCGGCGAAGTATTTCAGAAGTTGTTCGTCCATAGGGCTACATTCACTACGGGCTGGCATCGAGTCAAACCCAGGGCCAGAAATCTACACCTGCTGTGTATGCCAGAGACGACTACACCACAACTCCACCTCAGTCAAGTGTAATGCCTGCGAGGGGTGGAGTCACCTTAGAGAGTGTTCTTCACTGCAAAGTGTCTAGCCCTCTCCCCTACGAAATCCTCTGCGACCCTGTTCACAACCTGGACGAAGGAGGTCAGGCTACCGCTGGGAATTCACGTCGATGACACACCAATTCCGACGGTGAATAACCCCAAAATACTCGGAGTAACATTCGACAGCCTGCTCTCCTTCTCTGCGCACGCAACCGCTATTGTCAGTAAAGTACAGAGCCGCAACAAGGTCCTCAAGTCGCTAGCCGGCAGTACTTGGGGCAAAGACAAAGAAACGTTGCTGGCAACATACAAGGCAATAGGCCGGCCGGTTTTAAACTACGCAGCGCCAGTGTGGTCGCCGGGGTCTAGTAGGACGCAGTGGACGAAGCTACAGACTGTACAGAACACCGCACTCAGGACAGCGACAGGATGCCTCCTGATGTCGCCCGAACATCATCTCCACGGCGAGGCGCAAATGCTCCCCGTAAAGGAGCACAACATAATGCTCTGCAAGCAGTTCCTGATCGGGAGCCACAGAAGTGGCCACCCAAACAGACAGCTGCTTGCAGAGGAGCCCTCGCCTAGGCACGTCAGGAGGCATCTATATGAACTGACGGACGAAGTCCAGAGGTTCACCAAGCAACCTCTGGACCCGTCAGCTTACCGACTGGCCCTGAACGGCATTCACAGGGAGTCAGTCTCGAGTTATGTAGACTCTAGACCTGTGAATGCCGTTCTAGGCATACCTCCCCCGGACATAGACGAGACGGAGCTTCATCTGCCTCGGGAGACACGAACGACAATAGCCCAACTTCGCTCTGGCTACTGCAGCAGGTTAAACCCCTACCTGAGTAGATTGAATGAGGATGTGCCAAATGAGTGTCCGGCATGCGGAGAGACCCCACATGACTCGAAACATCTCTTCGCATGCCCGGAAAACCCGACAACCCTAACGGCCCTGTCCCTGTGGACCAACCCTACAGAAGCTGCACGCTTCCTAGGGCTGCCGTTAGTGGAACTTGACGACAACGACTGAGATACCAACCGTCCTGGTCGGGGTTGTTGTAGCCGCTACAACAACAACAACAACAACTGATGTGACTAAAAAATCTCAAAGGAATTCAAAGGTCAACTGTTCGGAAAAAAGGTGCAATGAAATCCTGCACAATGGAGCCTACTCGATTTAGTTCCGATGCACTTTTTTAATTCAAAATTTGGCTGTAATAATTCCAATCAGCTTGTGAAATTTACGGAAGTGGAAAAGGGGGCTATTCGCTCACATGGGGCCAGGAAAATCAGAAGCAAATTTATTGTGGCATAAAGGCTAAGCAGAGGCTGAGCTGCACAGGAACTTACATGATTATCAGGTAGATCTGGAAAACACGTATAAAAAGGCCCAATTTTTTCTGTCTTTACGGAGTAGTCACTAAACTTTATAAAAACTAAAGTTCTTAAGTTGGGGATTTCTTCAAAATCTGGGTTTTAATAAACACTGAAAATAATTTATTTATGTAGCAGATATTTTTACATTCTATTAGGCTTTGAGTAATCTACAAACCGTTGTTCAAAGCTGATTTTCAAAAGAAAGTGAGTTAGGGCGTTCTTTATTAATATAACTATATTGTATAAAGTCAAGGCTGTCTGTCCGAGGGTGTCCGTGGCGAAAGAATCGGCATACATTCCATCAGTTTCTGTCGTAGGTACAAGAACCCGGGCTCCAAGGGGCCTGTTGATTACTTTCCCTGTAATTAACCAGCTCTTATAACAGGGATTCTAAAACCACTAATCCTGGATCTACGTACGAAGGATCTGCACCTGCAAATTTGAAATATATGGAAACAACGAATGTTACCTTTAAAAATCCCCAATGAAAGTTGTTTACTTTTTAAGTAAAAGTTTGAACACACAACTTTTTTAGCTTGTTATTCGATTAAAAAATACAATTTATCCTTCTATAATAATGTACACTCACAAAAAACTTACAAACTATGTTTTTCAATTTTATTTACAATAACAAAATAACAATTTTTTGGTATTCTAAAGCCCATAGCAGTGCAAAAAAATGTATAGCGATTAATCCGTTTTCACTTCGTTTTCGCCATAGTCACTGTCGTCAATTATGACAGGAATCTCCTCACCATTATCACCAATCTTGATGCTCACCGATTTGCTAACCGATTTTTGTGTGAGCACTTCGAAAACCTCATTACTTTTCGTTGAGAGCAAGGTGTCATTGCCAGTTTTGGTTGAGTTCGCGATTGCAGGCAACTGCTTTTCTTGTCTTTGATAACGGACATCTTTCGTCTCCAGTCGTTGTTCTTTTTTAACTGTTGCCGTTTGAGTTGTCTCTTCCGCCTCGGTATTTGGCTTCGCGCTTGTACTTGACGTAGGCTTGTTGTTAAAAGAATGTTTGCGCCTTGGCTTCCATTTCAGCACCGGCTGCTCGGTAGTGGTTGTGGAGGCACGCGCATGCTTTAAGCGATAACGGCTAATCGCGCGTAGCGAAGGTGTCTCAGATGTGGAGGTGGAAATGAAGTTCGATGTACTCTGTTTGGTGAACACGGTGGCAGCGTCGATGGAAGTCGTTGACGGCACAGCAGTTGTGGCTGAGAGCAGCGAATTCGTAGTGGGTAAAGTGTTAGTTTGGACGGTGGACGAGGAGGTCTTTATTGTTTCCAGTTGACTGCTGGTTGTAAATAGTTCTGTTGTGGTGGCCACGGTTGTGGTTGTTGTTGGTGCCGCTGTTGCGTTGGCAGCGGTTTCTAAAAGGCTTTCACTCGTGCTTTCCCTTGCCGCTTTAGTGCTTGCGGTAAGGTTTGTTTTCTGTTTAATCGAGATCTGCACATCCTTGTGGCTTGGCTTCTGTTCGAGGTCATGCTTGGGTTTACTATCCTCCTGGGTTTCATCCTCGTAGGGTATACTCACATCCTGGTCATTATCAGGTGGCGGTAATTGCGCAGCTATCGAATCTGGCTTGGCATTTTTTCTGCTCGAAACAGTGCTGATACGGATATTAGCGTAATCCTCAAAGTGGTTAATTTTCGGGGCTTCCAGTTGTGACGCGCCTAGTTCGTAAGATTGTCCGTCGAGTGGTGGGTTGTGCGCGAGATTCAGGTAGAGTGGATCAGGTTCGGAATAGCGTATGGGCTCATCATCCATCGGCTCGCTCTGTATGAAGGGTTTACTGCGCTGCAGCGTGGGTTGCTCTTCCACCACAGGCGCTGGGTAAATGAGTAGCGGCACTTTAGCATCAATTGGTATCTGATACATTTGGTAAATTTGTGGACGCCTTAGTGGCGGCACCGGCGTCACTTGCACCACTTGTTCTCTATGCACTTCCATCTCGGAATTAGGGAAATTTATGGGCTTTTGGGACTGCAGCGTGCCCACTGGGATGCTCATTTTCACACGTTCCTTGTAGTAGTTATTTATGTAGTTGGGGGAGGTGGCTTCGACCGTTACACCTTTATATGGATTCGTCGGCTTAATGATGGGCTGCTCAGCGCTGCCAAGTCCGTTTTCGTTGCTTGTAGTGCTTGGCATATAGAAATGATGATGGAAATGATGCGTCACCACAGGTGTCGATAGTTTGCTAACTCCACCGCCCACATCTACGCCGTTTTCCTGTGAGTTCTGTGGGAATTTCAGCGGCTCCTGGTGTTGGATGGGTGTATACAACTCCGGGCGTGGAAACTTCGATTGATAACTCGGTCGGTAAGTGGTGGGCGTGGGGTAATAATTTCGACTCACCGCATTGAGTATATTCGGAAAGAGTTCGATCTTTGGCGTAGCCTTAGCTGGATAGTCCTTGATATACTTACCGATGTTCAATTTCTCTGGCAGCGGTGGAAAACGTGGCGGCGGCTGAAAGATGCCGTGTATAAAGGTCGGCTGAGGCATAGGCGTCGCCTGCCGGTATTGATTCATTGGCGGCTGCCTCAAGTTTCGCGCCGTGTAGTCATCCAAACGGCGGTCAGCAAAGCGCGCCTCATCGTTGTAGGCGATTTTGCCGAATGTCTGCGGATAATCGTCGTCACGTTGTATGTATGTTTGCAAAACGCTTCGCTTGCTATTGTTGCTATCTAATTCTGCCTTTCTTTTGATGTTGCCTGCACTCTCTGCGCGCAGCGGGCTCACACTGAATTTCATTTCATAGCGAAATTTGCGATTCGCATCGCGGTGTCGTATCTTCTGTACTTGCCACAAAGCCCATACTCGCTCAGCATCGCAGTCATAACCGCATAAGCCCTCTATAAAGCGAAACGAATTGTTGCCTGTTTCCTCTAGGCGCCCGTTTGCTAGTGTGACAATGTCACCAAAGCGCGTATCAGATTCGACGCGTTGTGGGATGTAGGGGGAGTAGAGGAAGTCGCTGTAAGCTTTTTGCTGGCTGTGGAAAAATTAAAGAAAATTTATTAAAGCACTTTTATGTAAAAATAGAAAATTATAACTAATTTTTTTTCAATGAAAGTCACAAAAGCGGTTGTTTCATGTACTCAATCACCAGTGCCATGCTCTCAATTCCATTCTCTCTTCCTGAGCTCTCTGTAATCTTATTTAGACCCAATGCAAACAAAGACCCAGGTCCGGTTGTAGTAGTGGCTGCTACTTCTTTTTGTAGATTATCTACTGCCTCATTCCCATCTATTCCGCATTGGCATGGGATCCAAATCCAATTGATAACGTTGTAAAAGTAATAAATACATAATTATTTTCCGCGCACTGACATGGTGTTGAGTTCCGCCTAAAAAATGCTTGAGAATTTCACCGTAGAAACTAGCAACTTCATTCTGTGTCCGTAGAGGCCCGCATCTATTTCCTCTGAAGTTTTCGAACCGCCTACGTTGTTGTTCCAAAGTCAAAGCACATACTTGTATAGTCATATCACTGAACAAGATACTAGAACCTCGAAGGGTTAAACTGGAGTACACGACGACCGACTTTAGGAGCTTGAAAAGACGTTAGAAGTCAGCCTTTTTGTATAACCGAACTGAACTTTCCGATATTGTTGACAGTACCAATCGGTCACTGGCCATTGAAAATTTTTGCGATCTAATTCAACATATTTTCAGAATTAGTGCGCTAACTATTTGAACGCTTGAAATAAAAAATTGGGCATAATATATTGGTAATCTAAAAACTGGGCATAAACTTCTGAAAAGTACATACATATATAACGACTATTGAAAAGTTAAAAATTGGGGAAACAAAACTGAATAAATAGTGAAACTTGGGCATGTGAATTTGTATGAATGTCGACTTATTACTTTCCAGTTTTTTATCAAATTTTTTTTTATCCAAATTTCAAATGTGAAAGAAAAACGATTCCTATTATTGACCAAAAATTAATGCTCAATTTTAAAATGGTCAAAAGTTATACTAACTACTTTTCTAATGACGATAAATGCACATACATATGTTCAGCCGTCAATGGCAAAAAAATGTATGTCCAGATTTCAAATGACCAATGCCCAGTTTTGAAAAATGTCCCCTTTCAAACAGCCAAGAATTAAGTCCAGTTTTTAAATAGCATAAAATGTATTTCCTGATTTCAATTGGTTTTATGTTCAGTTTTTAGGTAAACAAAAATTAGGTGTGCTTAGTTTTCAAGCGTCTAATTTTCAAACACCAAACATTTATGTCCGTAAGTTTGTGTCCAATTTTCAATGCCTAAAAATATATGTATGTAGGTCCAGCTTATAAATGATTTAAAGTGTATGTGAAGTTTTAAAAATACCGACACCTATTTTCAGTTTCCAAGTGATCAAAAATGTAAATCCAATTTTTAAATTACGAAATATATGTATGCCCAGATTTCAAACTGCCAATGCCCAATTTTGAAATAACCGAAAAATAATGTCCAGTTTTCAAATAGCTAAGAAGTTAAGTCCAGTTGTTAAATGGCATAAAATGTATGCTCTGATTACAATTGGTATAACTCCTATGTCCACTTTTTAAAAACCAAAATTTATGGCCACTTTTGACGTTACCAAAAATTAGGTATGCCCAGTTTCAAGTGCTCAAGCAAGAAATACAGCCTGCGGTGGTTTCCCTCTTAAAAATCTTATTAGAAATTTGGGTAATTTTTTCTGATGTATTTCGTCTTTAGGGGTATTTTATAACTAAAACTGTAGTTTTTTAGATAAAAGTTTGGTTTAAAATGTATCAATTTTTTTTTTCATGACAATTTAAAAAGAATTCTATAAAATGCAAGTCATCACGTGTCTCAGTGAACAGGCCACTTAAAAGACTAGTAAGTAATTTGGGTAGGTATTAGTGTTACTGCGTATTTCTAGCGTAAACTTCGAATTTTTACTTCACTTAGTCTCTTTAAGCGTATTTGTGACTAATACTGTTCCTTTTTTAAGTAAAAGTTTAAATTTTGTTTTAATTTAAGGCCAGTTTTCAGTGCAAGTTTAAACTTAAATCACGTAAACTGCGTTTGTCTTGAACAGCTGGCTGACATTTGATTGACTAATTTTAGTTTAAACCAGCCATCTTGAGCGTTTAAACTCAGTTTAAACCACATCCGTGCACTGAAAAACTAGCCCTCAATTTTTTGTTTTGTTTTTTGTTTATAAGAGCCTATCACATATGTATGTAGTAAATCCACATTTCAAACTTTGTACTATAATTGGAAAATTTTCAAAAAACTTTACCAATTGCACCCAAACACTTTAAACTTTTTATTCAAAATTGTTAGAAAAATTTTGGGTATGCAGTTTTATAACCCATAAAATTTTAGGCAATAAAGTCCAAATAATTTCAAATAAATTCTGGAAAAAATCCTTACCGGAACCGAAAATCCCGAGATCATTTTGTAAGGCATCTGAAAAATCCGAAAATCACAAAACATTTAATTTTATTAGGTAAAAAAAAAAAAAACAAATGCAAAAATTACCGATTATCTAGTTTGTGGGTTTTATTTTCTGCTGAAATAATGGAAGTACAATCATGAGGAAGTCATATTCAATGACATTTTCAAAAAATAAGACAACATCTTTTTCACCGAAACGAACAAAAGACTTAAGCCGCGAACTCGATTTCTTAGAGTCAATCTAAATTATTTAGGTCTGGCAATATTAATCTACCTATTTCTCGCTAAAGCAGCATAAACAATTTGGCATGCATGCATCACCAGCTCCTTTGCAGCATAATTGAATTAAATAAAATAGTACACAACATTAGCCAATTTAAACAGGCATCACCTAAATAACCATAATTGAATTTTCAATCAATTGCAGTGGATTTGGAAATTACATTCGACTTTTTGTTAAACAAAACTTACATTTGTACTTAACAACTTTAACGTAACATACATACATATGTATATACAAACAAAGGAGCCTAGAAACGCATTTGCGCACAACGCCCGACCACCCGCCTGCATGCGCGCCCATCAGCACTGCCGCAGCAGCATAGCGCAGCGTCTACGCAATTTATAGTAATTTTTGCAAACGTAACATTCCGCACTGGTAGTTTTCACTGTCGCAACCAAAACAACAAGCATGAACGGCCGCACCACCACCAACCTCCATCCTCCACCACCACACCACAATAACAACAAAAACACCATGCAAATGGAGAGGGGTTTTCGTTTGTTTATTTAAGTCGTAACATCTTTGATTACCTGACATTCCCGGCAGCTGCGGCATTCGTAAAAAGTGTAACGAATGTTACATGTTTCAATGTACGCTCCCATGGCCGCAGGAGCGTCTGATTGTGTGTAGCTGTTGTTGTTGTTGTTGCACTCGCATCTTCTTCATAAAATATGCTCTTTCCACTCAATTGTAGACCCCGTTTTGGTGTCAGCACAACATCTCGCCCTACAATGGCTTCGGCGGCATTAAACTGTAAATGTTGTGGGAATTCAATTAGAAAATTTAAAAGTTTCAATGCGCTTTTATCTTTAGAAAAAGCTATTTAAAAAGATTATTTGTTCAAGAGCAAATTTAAAGATCGTCTCCATTGTTAGTTCCTAGACTAAGGCAAGAACGAAGTTCTTGCAATTTTATTTAAAATACATCTAATTTTAATAAGAACTTTTTGTTTCATCACATATCGTTACCTTAATTCACAAAGGCCCTAACCAACACGTTTTTCGGAACTTCGTCTTTCCCAGATTTTAGTAGGATATATTAAAATATAACTTCAATAAAAAACAACGGAGTTGCATGCCACTTTTTAAAAAGCCCTACTTGTTTTTATTGTACTTTTTGTAATGTTTTTTTTTTTGCTTCTCCTGTAAAATTAAGAAATTGTTGGTTAGGGCCTTTGCGAATTAGGATATAGATATGTATGTAATAAAATGACAAATTACACTGTGCAACAATTTTATGACAATTCAAACCAGCCCGGACTTTGCTAATATTGGATTTGGAAAAGTTAGCTCGTATTTTTATTTTATGGCCTACTACAGTTTTCATGTCTTGGCAGAAGTAGTTTTCAAAAAAGTTGAAAAAATGGCTAAAATAAATGTCCGAGCGAAATTAAAGGTTAAGGCATATACATATAGTAAAACTTCATGGGAAATATTGGCGTAAAATATTTTAACCCTTTAGCTCCCGCCTGAAAAGGTCGTTTGGACCCTTACTTCAAGAAACCCCGCAAAGAGCAAATTTGGAAGGTCGTTAGAGGATTGATACATATATTCTAGAAAATCATTCTTCGGAAAATTTGACTAGAGGTCTTCTCAGGCAAATATTTCATGCCATCAACGTAAAAGTCCGTTATTGGATTAAAAGTAAAATCCTATATACATTTTTTTAAATAAAATCTTAACTTTATGAGTATTCTTTTCTAGTACTAAAAAATGTATACGAGATCTGCTGGTATAGCCACACTGCTAGCGATTGTCTTATAAAAGTAATAAGACGCGATATGTTATAAAAAATATAAGATTACATACATACATATGTATATATATCGCTAGCTTAGAGTGAGAAGCTGCTAAGTACTTTTTTTTGATTTTACAGGAGGGGAAAAAAACTTCTTATATGTATTTATTTTAAGTATTTTGCTAAACCTAGAATACAACATTTTGGGTATTTAAAGCAAAACGAAATTCCATGCGAATGAGAAGAACTCCATTTTGATTAAAAGATTTCGTATTGTTTTGGTCTTATCGAACCTTTTGTGAAATAAAATAGGTAACTTAATCCTTGTGATATTTGGGGTGAAGACTATTACACTTCTAAATCCTTTGGCCGAGAAGAAGCACTGAACTGAGCATTCCCATATGTAGGTACTATATTTGGGTATACTTAACCGGAAAGACCCAGATAAAAACCTTTTCAAGGACTGCCACTTCAATAGTATTCCCAAAAATTTATTGGGTAATTTTTGTGCTATTACAAAATAAAATCCTTTTTGTTTAAATGGTGGACACGAGAAGCAGTGCGATGCCAAAAAGGGTTTATAAGCAATGATTGGTTCATGTGTGCTTGTCTATATTTAATATACTCCGCTTCACTTACTTAAATGTGTAAGTATTCTTCCTAGCGATCCGTGCTTATATCTTTAAATATACAGCTGCTGGCTGGCCACTTCAAAAACATGTATTTTGTTAATATCCCAAAAGTCTTTCATGTGAAATAATCTTTGTTGTTTTTATAAAAATTTGGTTCATAGTCAATATTGCCAGATTCACAGTTTCAACTGTATATTACTATTTTTTACAGTTTTTTTTATTCCTCAATTTGAAAGAATAAATTAAAGTTTTTCTTTCGATTTTAAGTAAATTTTTAATATAAAAGGGACGATGAAGGAACTGTGTTTCCATTTGTTTCTGCCGTCCTTTGCATTCCAGTCGCCACAAGCAAATGCGGAAGGATACTTTTCACAATTCAATTTGAATAAAAAAAAGTCGTTCCAGCACTCCCTGGTATTTTAAGAACTTGAAATTGCTTTAAAAAAGCTTCAGGAGAATGATATGCTCAAAAAATTAAAGTTTACGAAAAATAACGAATGTGATTTAAGTAAATGTTCCATTTTATACAGTCTATTTTTTTTAGTTTATTCTAATTTAAATGGTTTATGTTATTTATTTTGAAATGAATCGTTTCTTGCTATTTGTATACAATTCTCATATAAAATTTATAGATAATCGTTAATTTCTTCATGACCCAATGATCGGATCTAAATCAAATTAGTATGGGACCACCTATGAGGTACCAATGTAGAAATACCTCTACGATATGGCAAAACGCGAGGAATGTAAAAATAAAATAAAATTTGCAAAAGTTATACAACAACAAAAATATGAGGTGTCTCGCCGTAAGCCATTGTTTATCATATCATAACTCGATAAATATTGGTTGTATCAAAAAAATCAATTCGTACTTTTTTATTGACAAAGACTCAGAGATTTATAAAAGATTTTTAATTTGTTTTTAAGTCCACTTTTCTATACGTTTGTTAATGAACAATTTAGAAAGTTGCTACAAAAAAAATGTTTGCAGGTTTTTAAAAATCCGAAAAAAATATATGTGATAGAGTGAATATCAAAGATTTAACTGACAAATTTTTAAAGGGTGCCTCGATATAGGGCCTGAGATATTAATTGTTTAGTAAAGCAGGACTGATAAAAAAATACAAAAAAAATAAAAAATTTAAATTCAAATTACATCAAAATACGTCAAGTGGGCCACTTAAAAACCTTTTCTTTCGGATAACCAAGATAGGTTCGTACTTTGGTAGAGGTCCAGGTAATATTTGTTTCCTTATACTTTATCTTGCAATAATCCTCTTACTTTGCGAAAAATCGCGAATTTAAAATTAACATAATCATTTCTTTAATTGGCCATATCAGAGATAACTTTGGTTTAAATTAAGAGGATTACTATATCGTTTTAGCAAAAATTATTAAATTTGTGGTAAAAAAACTACTCGAAAACTTAAAATTTTTTCGCAAAATGTCGTACAGAAAGGAAACATTCAATTCATATTCCGACGAATTGATAACCTTCTCCTTTTTTAAAGTTGGGTAAAAATTAAAAAATCTTGAATTTTTAAACTCGTTTTTGAACATAGTACAACAAGACCAAAGCTTCAAATTTTGTACAAAAGCTAGAAAAATGGCCATTAATTTTCATGAAAACCTCCAAAATATTTCTAAAAAATCCGATCAAAAAGATTAAACTTTTCTTGAAAATCAGTGGAAATTTTACAGATTTTTTCTAGCTTGTTTACAAAGTTTGCAATTTCGGTTTAATGGTTTTTGAGTACCCTGAACCAAATTTCAAAAAACAAAATAACAAAACTTATTTCTTACTAATGTTTAATTTTTATTTAAAGTGTGTAGAAATTGTGTTGCCTTGGAAAAAATTATCGATTTTGGCAAAAAAATAGCAGTAAATTTGTTGTAAAAAAAAGTTTGCATAAAATCAAAAAAACTAACTCTCTACAGAAATAATGGCAGAGGTTAGCATCAATCGTTTCCGTATGTACGCGGCGTTAGTTTGGTGGGTAGCACTAGATAAACAATACAACGTCAGAAAAATAAGAAGTATACAAAGAGTAGCTTGTAAAGGTGCTACAGGAACAATTAAGTCGTGTCCATCTCATGCGCTTAATGTGGTTCTGCATCAACTGCCCATAGAACTCCACATCCACGAAACTGCTGCGTCCTCGGCAGTCATACCCATCAAGTCAGGGTGCTGGAGGGCGCTGTGGCACGGCAACAGTGGTATTCTTGGCAGGCTTATCGAATCAGTGAAACAATCAGGTTTCAAGAAAAACTTTTAAGTGAAGTTTCCTTTTAGACGGGGTTGGAGTAAGGGCATGATAGTCGAAATCTGAAATCTATATATTGACGGGTCCAAAATGGACTGTGGTGTGGGTGTGTTCTATGAAACGTTGAATGTCCCTCTCTCGTTCCGACTATCTAACTTTGCTAGCATCTTCAAAGCGAAGAGAGGAACTGCGTAGTAGCACGAAAAGCATACATTTTCTCAGATGCTTGGCTGTACATATCTGGCACTTACCTCACCGGTGATAAAATCTGAAACAGTCCGGAGCAGAGACAATAAACTGTCCACTCGGAAACGTCAAAAAGGAACTGCATAATAATTCACACCTATGACTGATGCTCGTTGGAATGACCTTCAAACCTGCAAAACTGCGGAAAACATATGGCCGCATTATGAAAAGCCAAAGACAGTAAAACGTCTAAAGAGGTCGTTGAAAGATATAGTCAAATTAACAGCCCCGACAACGGGACATTGGCCCATTTGTGAACATGCAGCTAAAGTGGGCCTTCCTTACAACCCTC